CAAGCTAAAAGGTGCGCGGTACACGATTTCGCTTTGCTATGGACAAAACAGCACCTGTAATCCTACCGGAGAAAACTATGCATGGCTCCATTGGTAGAGAGAGCATAGGCATCACCTTAAATTTATAAAATTGTTTGTTTTTTTTTTGTTTCAGACTCATGAGGAATATCCTAGATACTGTAGATTTCTCAATATCCGTTTCTTTATGCGTTTCGCAGCTATTGTTCTCCGTTCTCCGTTCAGTATCATCTGCTGCCGATCCAACAATTGTTGGTTCCAATTCCTTTGGTGAGTTCTCTGGTGGAGCAAAATCCGAGGACGTGATTGCGATATGATAACAATTTTGGAAAACACATAATTTTGTCCGTTTAACATTTTGAGCATAAATAAAATGGAGCAGAAAAGCATTCTAATAATTAGGAATCTTCGTAGATATGACTTTTTGTGTGGTAGTAATCTAAACCTATCAAAACAAGAACTAGCCACGCTCGTGACAGCTCCAAACATGGTGTTTTAATAGGCTTGGATGAACGCCATACTTGAGCATCATTGAACCTGTCCGGAGAGACCATCAACGGCCCTGATAATCATTGTATCGGTATAAAAATAATTACTCACAAGACTTAAGATGTTAGGATATTTTTCAAAAGAGGTTGACTGTTTGAGCCGAACTAAATAAAATTATATGTAACAATTTAAACGCTAGCGAAATTAGGCTGATAAGAATGCTGGAATGTTGATTATTGCATTTCTTTCATGAGGCTTGACTTATGTACACATGTTTAGCTTCCTTTCTTTTTAGGAAAATTTATTTGAGGTTGCAGCTCCATATATTGATCTTATTATTATCATCCTCTTTACCCTCTCTATTCTTTCGTATTTTTATTTTTCCTCTTCTTAAAAAAGTTTCACATCACAAAGTTAGAACCGTATGGCATACTACTAAAATTTATTGCAAAATTTTCCTGCAAAAAAAACGCGATGACGTGGTAAAAGGAAGATGATTGTCACTTGTCTACACCTTATGAAAGTTTGAAGATTGTTAGCTGATAGTATGAGATAGTGTTGAAGCCGAGCTGTGTTGATTTGGTCTGTTTGACTTATCGCGGCATCAATGAATAATTCAAAAATCTGTAACACACATTAACATGCGAATAATCAAGCAAAGATAGCCTAGATCTAGAAGAAACTAAATAGTTGCTATATTTCATTCATTTATACATAATACTCTAAAAGTGTGAGCTAAAAATAGCAAAAAAAAACAATAATCCTGCTAAGACAATGCAGTTTTAGAATTTGAACGTCATTATGAAGTAAAATAAATGGCAAAAAACGAATTTTGACTAAGCACACAAAAGCAAATATAATTTTTCAAAAAATTAAACTATACTTTGATATGAAATAAGAAAAGGGCTGAAGAGGCTTCAAATTAATAGACAATTCATGATCGAATGCCTGTCATTAATATATTGAACGCTCTGCAAAGTGTTACAAGCAGGCGTGCTCAAATTGCTCACAACTTCCCGACGATCTTGAGTCTGTTCATTGCGCACGCCATTTCCCTTCGCGCCTGTCGCGGCGGTGCTGCATCGCGAAGCTCGCATCCTGCTAGCAATGCACCGAAGTCTGAGGTATTCGCATTGTCTTGCGTGCCATGAGGTACGGGATGGCGCAAGCAAATGTTGCGACCTTAATGTGCTATTAAACAAGAAATTTGCTCCCGCTTGTTGTGTTAGGATGGGGACATAAGAATCTGTGGTAATAGTATCCATATGTCACAAAGTTAACAAAATGATTTCAGAGGAATTCATGTGCTCATTCTGGTTTCTTGCATTATGTGGATGTTTGACAAGACGACGATACATCATTGTATTCACTACGATGGCTATGTTTTACTCATTTGTCTTGTCTGTAAAGTGGGCAACTGCAGCCCATTATAGCGTAGGTCGTAAATAAGTGCATCGATAACGAACCCAATCCGAATCTATCACAGTATTTTAATGGCACTCAGCTCTCCTGCACAAGAATCCAGCGCCACGTTGATCCCACCTGGTGCAGAAACGCCGATATTATGCTAGTTCTAAGCAGCATTGCAGCTGTTTTAATTACGGTAATATAATCAAGAAGTGTAAGTAACAATCATGCAAAATAATTATTTCAGATGGTTGGCGCCATTCTCTCATCGTTGAGATTGTGGTCAGACGGGGAGCAACCGAAGACTGGAAGGAAGCGAGAAGCATTGATCGCGAGTGCTTCTATCAATCCCAAGACGACAATGATTAGTGCATTTCGCAACACAATCAACTAACAACAATCAATTGCCTGGTTTCGTCAATCGCCGAGGCTAGAGCAAAATGTACTTTCTGCTACTGTGTTATCCTCATTGGAATATACATCATCAAAGTTTAGCAGTAAAGCCAATCTTGCGATTTCTCTGTAAAGCCGATTTCTCAGAATTCATAACACGTGCTGAATCAATGCCACATTATAAGTGAAAAAGATCCGTGCTACATAAGAGTGAGCTCAATCAGTCCTTTTCAAAGATTAAGCAAGAAGACGGAGATTTTGTATGTGGATGTTAGAAGTAATGCTAGTAGAAATGAATCACAGTAATGCGTTATGCTGGAAATGTCTGTGAGACAAAGTGTCTGACTTTATTTGCTTCCCATTTAAAATCGCCAAAAAATGATAGGGTAAGGATTTATATGCTACTAGCCGGCATGCCCGGCTTCGCTCGGCTTTTTACGTTTTCTGCGCTGTTTTTTGCATCTGCCTAATC